ACCCAGGCACCCCTGGCCTGAATTCTTAAAAAATATGAGTCTCATGAAAGAAAAGGTGGGGGAGGACAATTAAAAAAAGTATACAGACTATTCAGAGAAAAAAATGGGGAGTATCATGGGACACCTGGGTGGCTCAGTCAGTTAAGTGTCTGACTTCAGCTCAGGTCTTCATCTCCCAGTTTGTGAGTTTGAGCCCCGCGTCCGGCTCTGTGCTGATAGCTCAGAACCTGGAGCCTGCTTTGGATTCTGTGTCTCCCTCTCTTTCTCTGCTCCTCCCCCACTTTCTTTCTTTCTGTCTCTTTCTCTCTCTGTGTCTTTCTCTGTGTCTCTCCAAAAATAAATAGATGTTAAAAATGGGTGAGGGGGGTGCCTGGGTGGCTCAGTCAGTTAAGCGTACAACTTCGGCTCAGGTCATGATCTCGCGGTTTGTGAGTTCAAGCCCCTTGTAGGGCCCGTGCTGACAGCTCAGAGCCTGGAGCCTGCTTCGGATTCTGTGTCTTCCTCTCTCTCTGCCCTTCCCCTGCTCATGCTCTGTCTTTCTGTCTCTCAATAATAAATAAGTGTTAAAAAAAATTTTTTTTAAATGGGGAATATCCTACTGTAATCTAGGTTAAAGAAGAATAAAGACATGAAATAAAAAACGTGTATTATCTTCAACTGGCTTCCAGATCTGGGAGTAAAATTAGCTATAAAGGGGGGTGTCTGGATGGCTCAGTTGGTTAAGCATCTGACTTTGGCTCAGGTCATGATCTCACGGTTTGTGAGTTCGAGCCCCACATTAGGCTTCTGTGCTGACATCTTAGAGCCTGGAGCCTGCTGTGTGTCTCCCTCTCTCTCTGCCCCTCCCCTGCTCACACTCTGTCTCTCTCAAAAATAAACATTAAAAAAATTAGCTATAAAGAATAATATTGGTACAATTAGTTAATGTTAGGTAGGCAATTTTAAATATTAGATATGTTACATAATTTTTTAATTTATTTTTTTAATATTTAAAAAAATTTTAATTACAGTGTAGTTAACATACAGTGTTGTATTAGTTTTGGGTGTACAATATAGTGATTCAGTGATTCCATACACATTGCTCAACACTCATCATGATAAGTGTACCCTTAATCTCCTTCACCTATTTCACCTATTCCCACACTCAACTCCCCTCTGTAACCGGAATTTTGTTCTCTGTAGTTAAGAGTCTAGGTTTTTTGTTGTTATTGTTTTGGGGATTTTTTTTTTTTTTTTTTTTTTTTTTTTTTTTGGTTTGTCTCTTGTTTTCTTCATTTGTTTGGTTTCTTAAATTCCACACATGAGTGAAATCCTATGGTATTTGTCTTTCTCTGACTGACAGACTTCACTTAGCATTATACTCTCTAGCTCCATCCATGTTGTTGCAAATGACAAGACTTCATTCTTTTTCATGGCTGAGTAATATTCCATTTTGTGGGTGGGTGGTTGTGTATACATACTGCATTTTTATCCATTCATCTATATATGAACACTTGGTATGCTTCCATTGTTTTGCTATTGCAAATAATGCTGCAATAAACATAGGGGTACGTTTATCTTTTCGAATTAGTGTTTTTGTATTCTTTGGGTAAATATCCGGTAGTGAAGTTACTGGGTCATACGGTAATTCTATTTTGAACTTTTTGAGGAACCTCCATACTGTTTTCCAGAATGGCAGCACCAGTTTGCATTTCCATCAGCATCGCAAGAGGGTTCCTTTTCTCCACATCTTGCCTACGCTTGTTGTTGTGGTTTTGATTTCAGCCATTCTGACAGGTGTGAGGTGATATCTCATTGTGGTTTTGATTTGCATTTCCCTGATGATGAGTGATGTTGAGTATCTATTCATGTATCTGCTGGCCATCTATATGTCTTTTTTGGAGAAATGTCTTTTCATATCTCCTGCCCATTTCTTAATTGGGTTATTTGGTTTTTTGGTTTTGAGTTATATAAATTCCTTATGTATTTTGAATACTAACCCTTTATCAGATATGCCATTTGCAAATATCTTTTCCCATTCAGTAAATTGTTTTTTAGTTTTGTTGATTATTTCCTTTGCTGTGCAGAAGTTTTCATTTTGAAGTAGTCAAATAGTTTATTTTGCTTTTGTTTCCCTTGCCTCAGGAGACAACATTTTTCTAGAAAAATGTTGCTGTGCCTGATACTAGAGATTACTGCCTATGTTCTCTTCTAGGATTTTTACGGTTTCAGGTCTCACCTTTAGGTCTTTAAGCCATTTTGAGCTTTTTTTTGTGTGTATGGTGTAAGAAAATGGTCCACTTTCATTCTTTTGCATATAGCTCTCCAGTTTTCCCAGCAACATTTGTTGAAAAGGCTGTCTTGGGGCGCCTGGGTGGCGCAGTCGGTTAAGCGTCCGACTTCAGCCAGGTCACGATCTCGCGGTCCGTGAGTTCGAGCCCCGCGTCGGGCTCTGGGCTGATGGCTCGGAGCCTGGAGCCTGTTTCCGATTCTGTGTCTCCCTCTCTCTCTGCTCCTCCCCCGTTCATGCTCTGTCTCTCTCTGTCTCAAAAAATAAATAAACGTTGAAAAAAAAAAATTAAAAAAAAAAAAGAAAAGGCTGTCTTTTTCCCATTGAGTATTTTTGCCTCCTTTGTTGAAGATTAATTGACCATATAATTGTTGGTTTCGTTTTGGGATCTCTGTTCTGTAGATCTGTGTGTCTGTTTCTGTGCCAATATGATACTGTTTTGATTACTGCAGGTTTGTAGGTTAATTTGAAATCTGGGATTGGATACTTTGGTTTTTCAGGATTGCTTTGGCTATTCAGAGTCTTTTGTGTTCTACACCAATTTTAGGATTATTTATTCTAGTTTTGTGAAAAATGATGTCTGTATTTTGATAGGGATTGCATTAAATTTGTAGGTTGCTTTGGGTAGGATAGACATTTTAACAATATTTATTGTTCAGTCCATGAACACAGAATATCTTTCCATTTGTTTGTGTTGTCTTCAATTTCTGTCATCCATGTTTTGTAGTTTTCAGAGTACAGGTCTTTCACCTCCTTGGTTAAGTTTATTCCTAGGTATTTCATTGTTTTTGGTACAGTTGTAGTTGGGTGGGATTGTTTTCTTAATTTATCTTTTTGCAACTTTATTACTAGCATATAGAAATGCAACTGATGTCTAGATAATATTTTTGGGTTAAGATGAAATGTTCTGAATGTGATTGTTTTATTATAGTTTTGTTGGAGAACATCCTTGTTCTTAGGAGGTACGTACTATATAGTATTTAGGAGCGAAGTATGATGATGACTGCAGCTGTTCCTCAGATGATTCAGAAACAGTACGTAGATATATAAATATGCAAGTATAAATATAATGAGAGAAATAAAGCAGATGTGCCAGAACATTAACAATTTGTGAATCCAAGAAAAGAATATGTAGAGATCAATATCTTATTCTTGCCGCTCTTTTCTGTGTGCTTGGCATTTTTTCAGGATAAAAAGTTGGGAAATATAAATACAAATTATAGTTTGGTTAGCCAACTACATAAGCCATTTGGTCAGGACTTTTGAGAAAAATTGAGAGAAAAAATGTTTACTGTAGGCTTTTAAACTTACACATGAACCAGTTACAATGCACTCATTGGAACGCTGACTACAGTGCCTGTCATGGGAACTGAATGTGTCTGAGCATGGTGGTTAAGGGCAGCACTGTGGATTAAGACCATTCTTTCCCTACATTAGCGAAACAAGTAACTCGGTCAGGTTCACTGCCCTGAACCTCATCTATAGCTTTCTCATCTATACCATGGGAATGATTATAGAAACTACTTTGTAGGATTGTTGTAAGGATTAACTACCTGCCATGTAGGAGCAGGCAGCAAATCTTAGTCATGATGATGAAGAAGATGAAGACACCAGCAACAGCTATGTTGGCTGCCTCTGCAACTAAGTCAGGGGTTCTTAGCCAGGAGATGATTGGAACCATTCATAGACTTTTTTCAAAACGCACTGGAGTCCTACTCGAGGCCTTCTCTGTCTAAATCTCTGGGTTGAGGCCTGATGTACTGTGTTTAGCACAGGATACAACATTGAGCAAGAAATAGTGTCTGTCCTCCAGAAGCATATAGAGCAGTGGGCACTGAGTCATATATCTGGTCACCAAATGTCAGAGAAAGGGAGACAGAAGTTTCCATGGATGGATTAGGAGAAAATGAGCTAAAGTCAGCGTTTTGTGAGTGAAGAGGAAATTAACCAGGTTTACTTAAATTCTTTTTGCCTGCTGTAGTTACTACAAAGGGATGCTGGAAGGTGTGTGGATCATAAAATTTGAGAATGCCCTGCCTTGTGTTCTCATACATGAGAAATTAAAGTTATGCAGCTATTTGTTTAACCAGCAGTCCCAAACTTGTCACATCAAAATGAGTGTTCCCTGCAATAGAATTTGTCTTGGGAAAACAGATGGCCCCTTTACTGAAGCTGTCATTGTATATCTCTCCTTACTGTACTTGGGAATTGGCTTCAAAACCAGTTTAGGAACCCCACAAGAATGCAGAGCTCAGTGATTTATGCACCTCATATTTGGGGCTCATAACAACATTACCCAGTACATTTACTCGCCATATTCGTTAGACTTGTTTCCAGAAAATTTGTAGCTTTTCCCCTAGGTAAAGATATGCTATCACCAAGAATATTCAGAATGATATGTTGAAGGTTCAGAATGTATATATGGGGTCTAAAAAAGTTTAGAGTCAATGTCATTTCCTTGAAATGACTCCCCAAAGGTGCAACCTAACTTGGATATGGGGTCCTTTATATGAATGTGTCCCTTTTTTTTTTAAGCCAGTCAAATATGGCCACACCTTATCCACATACTTCTATCAACATGAGGGCATTGGCAGCTAGGTTTAGATCTGCAAGTTGTATAATAAGTGTTTGAGATGCACATTTGTATAAAGTCTGGCCAGGAATATCACATGATGGGTAAAAAAAAAAAAAAAAAAAATTCTTTTTTTTTTTTTCTTTTTCTGCCTGTCCAGTTCCCAGTGCTGCTCCTCAGAATCTGTCCTTAGAAGTAAGAAATTCAAAGGTAAACTTTATGTTGCTATTCATTTTTACTAGCATACTATTAAGTCTCAGGAGGGCTTATAGACAGGGAGAGTCTGTGTCAAAAGACTTGTCATCAAGCAGAGAAATAAGGTGTCATAGATATTCCACCTACCAGTAAAACTGAATTTGGAAACCGACTCCAGGATTTTCTGTTTAACTTTACTGCCTTTCTCTCATGCCAAAATTACTATAGTCTTTCTGCAGATGTATTGCAGTTATGCAAATCATGACATTATAAATCTCAGCAGTTCAGAACATTGGTGATAAGGTAGAAAGAAGTAAGTTTATGATACCATAACCCCTCAGTTCCATGCATTGAGCTCAGTGCAAAGCTGAAGGTGGACATCTGTCAGAGCGTTGCATGTGTTCAGACTCCCTCATAGTCAAGTCCCTGTTCACTGAAGACCACGTGTGCCTCTCAAAGACCCACAGCCCCTTCTGGGCTCACTGACACCTGAGACACTCAGTCCTTTCAAAAAGTACCATAGGACCCCTTTTCCTTTCGTCAAAAACCACTATTAACAATTCCCTTCTTGAAGAGTTTTTGGCAGAAATTGCTCAACTTCAGCTGTTCCACAGTGGAGATAGAAGAGAGCACCTTACACCTAAACCATAGTTTACTTTCTAATCCATGTGCCTCTGACCTTATATTTTCCTTATGGAAACTTTTCTGAGACTTTTGCCTAATGTATAAGGGCCCAGAACATACTACCTGCAACTGTAATCTCCCCACTCGATCATTAAAGATTTTAAAATTGAAAAGTAATTTTGAGTGATCCTTAAGCAAAACTCTGAGCACACGGCTGCCTTTAAAATGTCCATGAATTCAGGATAATAATATACCAAACAGGACCAAGCTTTTGATAGATTTGGTCTTTTCCCAATATTCTTGTCTTCCCCAGAGTATTGTGATTCACTGGCAGCCACCTCCTCCATCCACACAGAATGGTCAGATTACTGGCTACAAGATTCGCTACCGAAAGGCCTCCCGAAAGAGTGACGTCACTGAGACCTTGGTACCTGGGACACAGCTCTCTCAGCTGATTGAAGGTAAGCTGCCCCGCACGTGGGCAGAAGTTAGGAGACAGCGTCTTTCTCAGGAGTTGAATTATGTTAGTCTAATGACCACTCTGAGCTGGTGACTTAATGTGAAAACAGTGCAAGAGAATTAATTCAGTCTACTTCTGACCTGATAATCAAATTAATAGAAAATAGTATTAAGTGTTCTGTTATCTGAGCCTTGAGATTGTGTTTGAGTTTCATTTCTTCACTTGGAGTTTTCTGTAGTCTCCACATTTTCTTTTTTGAATATATAGATACAGATCTTCCTTGACTTACAGTGGGGTTATGTCCCAATAAACCCATCAAAATTTGAAAATATCCTAACTCAAAAATGCATTTAATACACCTAACCTAGCAAACCTCATAGCTTAGCCTAGCCTACCCTAAGCATGCCCGGAACACTTACATCAGCCTACAGTTGGGCCAAACCATCTGACGCAAAAACCATTCTATAACAAATTGTTGGATATCTCATGTGCTTTATTGAATACTGTACTGAGAGTGAAAAACAGAATTTTGTAAGTGTATCAGTTGTTTACCTTCGTGATACAAGGTTGACTGGGTGCTGCCACTGACCCCACCCAGCATCACAAGAGAAGACTGTGCTTCATATCACCAGCCTGGGAAAAGATCACAATTTAGAATTCAAAGTACAGTTTCTACTGCATGTGTATCACTTTTATATCATTACAAAGTCAAAAAATAGTAAGTCGAACCATCCTAAGTCTTCATTTTTTTGTAATCTCAAAAGAAGGTAAAACAAAGCTGTCTAGGCCAAGAATCTGCTCAGTCTAGCTGTTAGCAGAGGTCTACATAACACGGACACCACTCATGTATATGTGGCCCGAAGCAACGTTTGTGAATAGCTATAGCAGTGTAGCAATCATTCTACTGCTTGCTGCATGATAAGTTTTAGAAAGTTCTGTCAGGGATAGCTCCTTTTGGGCAGTTTTCCCTTTTTGTGCAGCAGAGCAGGTGGCATAGTTGGTAAAAAATGGACCCTCTTGCATCTCTAATATGGATTCCCTCTACAGATGACAGAATGCCGCCCCCCCCCCCCACTTCTTTCCTCAGGTAGGGGAGTAGAGTGGGCTCGGCAAGGACCAGTTGGCTTTGCAGGAGAAGCATGAGAAGAAACATGAAGTGCTTTTTTGCTCTTTGGATATTTGTACTATGCTTACAAGGAACAGAGATAGATGCCCCTAAGAAGCCATTTTGGGGCTTCCCAGCAGAGCTGGTAGAAGAGAACTACAAGAATTGGAGATATTGTCACCATTATTTAAGCCCTGAGAATTAGTTTCAGCTCCCTTGGGGAGCTCTCAATTTCCCTTACATTGCTTCCCTCCTGGGGAGAGAAGCGTGACATCAACCTCTTTGCTGTGCCCAAGGGGTCACGTTCTTGGCAGAACCAAGATCTGGGGTCAGGACGTGTAATGGTAGGAATCTCTAACAATTAATTGAGTCTCTGTAGTGGAAACTTTGCTCTGGTAATCCAGCACGCTTTTCTCCTTACTCCTCAGCTCACAGATGGGATTGACTTCTTTCAAAACAGGTGAATGTTTGTCTCTTAGGGTAGCTTTCAGTCTTTTAATTTATTCACGGGAACCCCACAGCTCTAAGCTTCAGCGTGTAAACACAGTTGAAATAGTGTTGCTGAGACATCTCACAGAGGAGCATCTTCTATGTTCTTAAAAATCAGTTTCTGGGGCGCCTGGGTGGCTCAGTCAATTGAGCGTCCGACTTCAGCTCAGGTCATGATCCTGCAGTTCACAGGTTCAAGCCCCATGTCAGGCTCTGTGCTGACAACTCGGAGCCTGCAGCTTGCTTCAGCTTCTGTGTCTCTCCCTCTCTCTGTCCCTCCCCTTCTCATGCTCTGTCTCTGGCTCTCTCTCAAAAATAAACATTTAAAAAAATGAGAAAAAAAAGTTTCTGATTTTATACCAAATACAGATAACATTTCCCATCTGTAAGGCCTTTATTTTGAATATTTAGTAGTAGATACTTACTGTGTACCAGGTACTGTTCCTGTTACTAGTATAGAAACAGAGTGTAGTCCTGGGCCATGAGGAGACTATTCATTTTCTCAATGAAACATTTGACATTTAAGCCAAGTAATCACCTTCATGTTAAAAACAGCTTTTTCTTTCTTTTTTTTTTAATAATTTTTTTTAACATTTATTTTTTACTGAGAGATAGAGAGACACAGAGCGTGAGCAGCGGAGGGGCAGAGAGAGAGGGAGACACAGAATCCAAAGCAGGCTCCAGGCTCTGAGCTGTCAGCACAGGGAACAATGCGGAGCTCGAACTCACAAACTGAGATCATGACCTGAGCCGAAGTCGGTCGCTTAAACAACCGAGCCACCCAGGTGCCCCCAAAACAGCTTTTTCTTTATCGAGAAAATCCTTGGATTTTAAAATCATATATGGATTCATTTGTTTAATGGACTATACTGAACTTTTGTTCATATGTGCTGGCACGAGGTACACAATGGGGGGCAAAAATGGACATCTTTGCTCTCCTGGCGCATTAACTTGAAGCTTGATAAGTATTAGCAATGTGGATTACCAGGATCCTATACCGAAACACAAATATGACTAAGTGGTAGCCAGAAGGAATTGTTTCTTCGTTTTATGCCACTTACAACACTTAACACATTCTGCCGTGTCTTTGTAAACATTAAGTGTGGGTCTTAGTTTTAGTCTGCATTATGTAGGTTACTTATGGGGAGAGGAACTCAGCCTCTTTACACTCATGTCTCCTGCTCACATGGGCGTGTGCACTGTCACTTGCTTACGTGCTCTCTTACATTCTGACTTTCACCTACGGGGAGGGAATGATAATCTGATTGGTTGAATTCTTTTAGGACCTCAGTTGAGCCATGTTTGCCAGTAGTCCATATCATTTGTCTATTAACAGTCATAAACACATGCACAACCCTCTCTGGCACTTTTGGGTTCAGTGTATGCAGGGAGGTGACAGGTTGAACTGACTTGGGCCCAGTCATTTGACTCCTCCTCCTGCCTTGCTTGTTGCTTCTCCTGTGGGCAACCAGCTTCAGGGTGGGCCTGCTGAGAACAGAACCTCCCACCCATCTCTCACGTGTGACAGGATTGTTTTGAGCCACGCTGCATCCTGGCCGCGTCCTCCCTCTCAGGTTCTCTCTTAAGAACTTCTGTACTATGCTGCTGGCCAAAGAACCTAATATTTCGATATGGGGAGGTAGGATCATTTCTCACAACCTTATGAGATCTAAGGCTATATTTAGTATTTAAGTGCTCAAAAGATGTATACATGTGAGCTGTACGCTGAAAAATCATTAAGATGGTAAATTTTATGTTATCTGTTTTAACAGAAGAAAAAAATGGATGTGTAAATAATATGAATAGCTGACTATATTACTGGCTGTTGCCCTATTTTGTAGGGTAGACTTTTACATGTGGGTTTTTGTTGCCTTCAGTACATAGGCAGGTTTATTACTGATAGTCATTATGAAAAATTGCATAATAGAAAGGGCTTATTCCTAAGTTTATGGGCAGGTAGGCTGTTGTGAAAAAGATTTCCAGGCCACATTTGGTGTTTAAAATTGTTCTACTCTTGTTATGGGGATGACTCAGAGAACAGAGGTTGAGGTAACCCAGCAGGAGTTACATCTTTGAGTTATTTTCTGGTCCTGGGTATCTTCTGAGACCAACTGACTTTATTTCTTTGTTAGGATTCTTTCATTATCTTCCACCTCTTTTTGACCTTAGCTGCCTTAGTAACAAAGTGAAGAGATTACATTAAATGATCTCTGAGGGGCCTTCAGACTCTTAAAAAAAAAAAAAAAAAAAAAGTCTGTAATCTCTTGGGACCTTTACTCATTGGTTTTCCTCCTGATTGTGTGGGCTTCAGCCTCTCCTGGAGATGTGGGGGAGCTCCTCTGAGCTGTGTTGATGTATTGCTTGTGCTATGTTAACTTTAACTGAAACTTTATCAAGATAGTAGCTGTGTATGGAGTTGGTGGATGGGATACTTGGTTAATGACAAGTTGTTAATCTTCTGTTTTCCAAATCTGTTTCAACTTGTCTTCTTTTTTTTTTTTTTTTTTTTTCCTCCTCATTTGGGTCTCAGGTCTTGATCGGGGAACTGAATATAATTTCAGAGTGGCTGCTCTAACCATCAATGGCACAGGCCCGGCTACTGACTGGCTGTCTGCTGAAACTTTTGAAAGTGATTTAGATGGTAAGAACAACAATCAACAGGGTTGGCAGAAGCTAGGTACTAACTAACTGTAGTTAAATTATTTAAACTGGAAAGCCACAGATTTGGTGGTGTATGTGGCTTAAATCTGTGAACTTTAATATATTACACTGCTGTCCTTACTGTAATGCAGCAAGTCTCCTAGAATGCTTTTTTTTCCCCCAGTGGCTTTTAGAGATCTGTCCCTTTAAGCAGAACCAGAACAAATAAAAATGTACAGGTGCTTTAAGTCTAGTTTTTTTATCAAGGCCATTGAGTAGATGGATAATCTAAAATTGAACACTGAGCCACATCAATCCCTCCTTTTTCAGCTACAGCTCCCCTTTTCTCTTAGTCCTGCCCACCTTGCCCTTTTTCTCACCTGTGTTCAGTGAGTACCTCCATATAGGGTGTGTGTGTGTGTGTGTGTGTGTGTGTGTGTGTGTGTGTGTCTGTCTGTCTGTCTGTCTGTCTTTATCGGACACTGGTACTGCACTTAGGAGACGAAAGACTCCGGTCCTTATTCTCATTCTTGGCTTACCACTTTTTAAATTTAGATAGCAAGTTATGCCTTGAAGTGATGGATTTGAAAGATACTATAAATTGCTACCTTTTTTAAGCCTCTTAGTCTCCCACCATTTAAATCAATATGTAGTTCTAAGGTTTCCTGTTTTCTGACTTACATTACTTAGAGGAGTAAATAATTGATACAGTTGCTGTAATGTGATACTTGATCACCTGTTGACAACAGGCTTCTAATTAGTTGGTATTATGCCTTTTTCATGCCACCTAGTTGAGTCTGGGACTCACATGTGGGACCAGGAGGAATGAGTAGTTATTGAAAGGCAGTTTGTTTGTTTTCCCCATTGGGCAGAGGTTCTTAGATTCCTTTGCCTTCCCTTCCAAATTAATATTTCATTGTCTTGTATTTCAGGCTGTTTGGGTTTTGTTTTCTTCTTAGAATGTGGTAAAACCACAGGCCATACTTCACTATATGTACAGATTCTCTGTGAATTCTTGGGTGTAATGGAAAAATCTTAGCCCCAAATAATTTGACAGGAGGCTAAACACCATGGCCCAAGGATGGTGAAATATTCTAAGTCCTGTTTTTCTACTTTCCTTCCCAGAAACTCGTGTTCCTGAAGTGCCTAGTTCTCTTCACGTCCGACCACTTGTCACTAGCATTGTAGTAAGCTGGACTCCTCCAGAGAATCAGAACATTGTGGTCAGAGGTTATGCCATTGGTTATGGTATTGGCAGCCCTCATGCCCAGACCATCAAAGTGGACTATAAACAACGATATTACACCATCGAAAATCTGGGTATGTATGCTGAGTAGAGGAAGTAAATGCACATGGAATTTCTTTCTTTTTAACTTTTTAAAAAAATTTAAAAAATTTTTATTTTAGAGAGAGATGGGAGAGAGGGCCAGAGGGAAAGAGAGACAGAGACAGAGGGAGAATCTTAAGCAGGCTCCATGTTCAGCACAGAGCCTGACACGGGGCTTGATCCCACGATCCTGGGATCATGACCTGAGCTGAAGTCAAGAGTGTTGGATGCACTACCAACTGAGCCACCCAGGTGCCCCTTAACTTTTTATTGTATAATAACTTTATTTTTACAGAAAACTTTTAAAAACTACAAAGAATTCCTATATATCCTTCACCAAGAGACCCCAAAGGTTAACATTTTACCATATGTGCTTTATCATTCTCTATCTTCCTATACATACATATTTTTTTCTCTGAAACATTTGAGAGTAAGTTATACATGTGATGCCCTCTACCCTCTGACACTTTTATGTGAGTTTCCTAAAACTTGAGGGCATTTTCTAATATAACCATAGTACATTTATCAAAGTCAGCAAGTTAACACTGAGACAATATCTATAGACTTTATTTATATTTTACGAGTTATCTCATTAAAGTCCTTTATAATAAAAGAAAAACATTGTTTTCTGGTCCAGGGTAACTTATTGCATTTAGTTATCATGTCTCATTAGTTTTCTCTGACATAGAGTAGTGCCTTGTTTTTTTCTTATATTTTATTACTGTGACATTTTTTATAAGTATAGACCATTTATATTTTGTAGAATGTCTCTCAGTTTAGACTTGTCTCATGTTTCCTCACTACAGTCAGCTTACCCATTTTTGGAAGAAATGACATCCATACGTTGTGTTCTTGTCAGTGCATCACAACAGGAGGCACATGAAAGGCTGTGATGTTAATGCTAGGTGATGTTAATCAATCACTTGGTTCAGAGGGTATCTGCCACATTTCTCCAACATAAGGTTACTGGTTTTTTCCTTCATAATTAATAAATACCTTGTTGGGGAGATACCTTGAGTCTTTGTAAATATCTTGTTTGTCGTCAAATGTTCACTCACTTGTTTTAGCGTTTTCCTAACAGGTTCTGTGGTGGTGTTTCCCAAGTGAAGTTCTAATTCTATTACTTCTCCTACATTCATCAGCATTCTTTGATACAGAAGCGCTTTCCTTTTCTTCCTTAGTGAAAGAATGGCCAGTGGGAGTCTCTTTATAGCCACTTCCTTTGTTTGACATCTTCCAGCTTTCTGTGGGTACTTTCTTCCTTGTGACACAGTAAGATATTTTCCCTGCCCTTAGCCCTTGAATCAGTCATTTCTCCAAGGAACACTGATTTCTTTTTTGGAAAATGATATTTAGAAACCAGTATCTGCACTGTACATACTTGCTGTTATCAAGGTAGAAAATCCTGAGGAATCTGTAAAAACTCTAAGTGAGCTTAACAAAGTCACAAGAGACAGAGTTGATATACAAAAATAGTTGTGTTCCCATGTACTCACAATAAACAGAAGTTGGAATTAAAATAACAATACTAACATAGCATCAAAAAATATGAAATACTTAGTGATAAACTTTAAAAATATGTAGAAGGTCTGTACTGGAAATTAGAAAACTATTGCTGAGAGAAATTAAAGATGACTTAAATAAATAGAGGTACCATGTTTATAAATTGGATAATACTATTAAAAGAAAATGATTTTATTAAAATGACAGTTCTCCCCAGTACTACTCCAAGTAAAATCCTGGCAGGTTTTTAGTAGAAATTGATAAACTTAATTCTTAAAATCAAAGGAACTAGAATAGCCAAACATTTTTTAAAATGAAGAATCAGGTAGTGTGGTCTTTTCAACATTTATTCAAGTGTTTTCTGACGACCCACACTGCCTGATTTCAGTACATATTATAAAGCTACAGTAATCAAGACATTGTGGTGGTATTGATACAAAGGTCGGTGTTATAGATCAATAGAACAGAATGGAATCCAGAAATAGATACATAGTTTGATAGAGTGAAATGATTTTTTGATTGATAGAGTTAATTGATTTTTTTTTTTTTTTTACAAACACGCTGCCATAATTTAGTAAGGAGAGGGTAGTCTTTTCAACAAAAGGTATGGGAGTAATTAGATATCTGTATGATAAAGAAAAGGAACTTTCCTTGGCCTTTATCTCACACCATACACAAAAACAGATCTAAATGCAAGAGCTAAAACTATAAGACTTCCAGAAAAAGACAGGGAAAAACCTTCATGACTTCGAGGTAGGTAAGGATCTCTCAAGATATAAAAAAGCATAAGTTACAAAATTAAAAAATTAATCTATTTTACTTCATCGAAATTTAAAATTTCATCTTTTGAAAACACACCAATAAAATGAAAAGATAAGCCACAGACTAGGGGAAAATACTCCTCATTCAAATATCTAACAAAGAATTTGAGTCCAGAAAACATAAAAACACTTACAACTTAATAAAAGAATAGGCAAAAGATTTTGATGGGCAATATACCAAAGAAGGTATGTGAGTGGACAGTCAGCACATGAAAAGACTCTCAGCATCACTAATCATCAGAGAAATGCAAATATAATCACAACAAAATACCACTCACATTCTCTACAACTGCTAAAAATTAATAGTCTGATTATATATCAGCAAAGTTCAGCCGAACGGGAACTCTTATACTTGTCGTGGGAACATCTGAGGTTACAACCACTTGAAACAGTTGAGAGGTTTCTTAAAAAGCTGGCCACACAACCCAGCATTCCCACTCATAGATACTTAGCCAAGAGGAATAAAAATACATATTTACACAAAGTAAATACATATTTACACAAATCTAAAAGGAGTAAACAGGTAAATGGTAAATTGTATCTGTGCAATGGAGTACTCAGCAATTGAAAGGGATAGGCTGTGGATAGACACAGCAACATAACGAATCTCATAACATTATGCTGAGCAAAAGAAGCCAAACACAAACACTGCATTACTACTTTTCTATGAAATTATAGAGTTGGCATCATTTATCTACGGTGACAAAGCAGGATCGGTAGTTGCCAGAGGAGACAGGGGTGATGGGAATTGACCGCAGGGGACACAAAAGAACTGTTTGCAGTGTTGAAAATATTCTGTCTGGATTGTGGTAGTGATCACACAGGCAGGTATATATATTTGTCAAAAGTCAAACTGTATACTTAAGTGGGTGCATTTTATTGTATGCTAATTACACCTGAAAGTTGATTTACAAAGCCAAAATTTTTTTGAGAAATAGTAATACTTTATAATAGAAAATGAACTGATTTTGGTAGCTGTAATTACTTTTCCAAATTAGGCTATCATTATAGAGATCTTTCTTTGAAAGACTTCTCTTGAAATTCAGAGTCTGCCCTGACCAACTTTTTTATTCAAATCATTTCTTTTTAAATATCTTTCCTAAGAATGACTTTACGTGCCTAACAAATGAATTACCTTCATCTTTTCTGGTAGAGAATAAACAGCAATTTAATGCTTTATTCAGAAACATTATTTGTCTTTTTCCTTTAAGAAGAAACAGCACAGCTAACCTAGGAAGTATTCCTGTGAAACAGTCTTATAAGGCAATTGTAGGAGAACAAACGAAAAGCTTTGCTGGTAGGATAAAAGTGTCTCTGTGGCGTTTCCTTTATGCAACTACTCAAATGAAGATCCTCTGCAGTATACATGGTCCTTGACCCTCAGGTGCTTTCAGTCTAATAGGAAAACACAAGAAACAATGAAATGAGTTGATGTGAAGTATGTTCAGAGAACAGAGAGCTAGTTGAGGTAACAGTGGAGCAGTCAAGGAAGAGGCTTAGCCTGCACTTGAAAGACTGAGTCATGATTGTGTTTGAAAATAAGATGAGAAGGAGCAGTGCATGTGCTGAAGAATAAACAGACTTTATTAGAAAAGAGAGTGGACATTGAAAAGTAGCAAGAATGTTTAATTTGGCATAAAGTGAAGTAAGCTTAAGCTGTTTGTCAACACAGATAGATCAAAAATGCATGTAATGTTAAACAAAAGAAGAAAGTCAGAAGTGGAAAAAGTACATTTAGGAATTCATTAATCAACCAACAGCTCTCTCCTTCCAGTTGATGTAAACTTCTGCTAACTGGGTATCTGCACTGGGATATATCCCACATTCTATCATAATTTAACCCAAATTAAAGTTAGTGTCTTCTGAAGATCTTTCAGTCAGTTAATATTTCATGAACACCTACAATATCCCAGACTTTCAAACAGACATGATTCTAATTACTAGAAATAATACTATTTCGAGATGATTGAAATTGTTTAGAGTGCTGAGGAAGAGATATGAGGTGGTATAGCCTATAACCAGAGAGGCTAGTCCAGTCTGGAATGAGCCCTCTTAAAGGAATAGGCACCGTTCAGGCAAAGAAGGGTGACTGTATCACAGCACATGGAACAGCTGCACATGTTAAGGCCCAGTGGTAGGAGAGCTCACGGTGCTCAGTGAACTGAAAGATAACGGTAAAGAGTATAGAGCACTGAGAACAAGGCAGAGTGGTGAGAGGCAAGAAGGTGGAATCAACAAGACTTGATCATTTGCATAAAGGGGAGGAGGGAGAGGGAGGTCTTATGATTCCCAAGTTTCTGACTTGAGCAGCAGGATACATAGTGCCATTTACAAACTAGAGAACACTGGAGCAGATCTGAAGTGGGGACAGAGAGGGAGATGCCAAGTGGAGCATGCCAAATAGACAGTTGAACATAGAGGTCCAGTGCTCAGAAGAAAGGTCTAGACTGAAGAAACGTATTTGCATTTGATGGCACGTGTGTGCTCATCCAAACTAAACACAATAGGAAAAAAATGAAGAGTCAGAATTGAAGGGGGCCTAGAATCAAGCCTTGAAAATGCGTACATGGTTGCTCTGCCTCTGTCTCTGATCCTAGTGAGTGACATCACCATCTATCATGTTGCCCAAATCAGCACCTTTTCCTTTTTCCTCACCTGTCAAGCACTAAGTCTTGTTGATTCTACTTATCATCACTTCTTTCGGACATTGGAAAACGAGGTGCCTTTGTACATTTCCCACTGATAACTAGAGAGTGGGCCACCAAGCAGACCAGCTCTTTTAAGCTTTTGAAGTAATGCAGGCCACTTGAGGTGTGGCCTCTTGGAAAACTGCCCAACTTCACCAGAAATAAGTGGTATGGGTCAGCTCCTTACCCTGCCATACTTCGGTGGAGCCGAAGTCCCATTTCTGGAACTGGACTTCAAAATATGAATACTAAACCTTGCCTAGATCAGGAATGTGAGAAGTAGAGCCTTCCTGATTTGCCAACAGGAGAATGAATTCTGCTCCAACCATTTTATGCCCCCTTTCCACCAAGTGTCACTAGTAGCATTTTACATGATCACTGGAGGGAGCATTTCTTTCCAGCTTCATTTCCTGCAACATCACCTCCAGGCCAGTTGAAATTTGGGACCATACCTTATCCAACCAAGAAGTCTACCTGAGGGCCAGATGGGGGTTGGCAGTTCCTGGATTTGGAGATCCCCCACTTGCTGAGTTAACAGTTCTGCTACTTCTCCACTTGCTTGGCTGTTCCATTCGCTGTCCCGCTTTCTGAGAATAAAAGGGGTTTAATTCTAAGCTCCATCTATGGGCTTACAACACATAAAATTCCTATTTACTCATTCTCATCTGAGCCCCTCACTGTACAGTAACATCAAACCATTGGTTAGTTGAGGCCAAGAGAGGATTCAGGTACAGCCACCCTCACTCCTGGAACTAACTCCAGATAGTTGATCCCAGCCAACTTTTCTGGGCTGTGTACGATGCCATCTCCATTTCCTCACACCCCAGAAGAATCCCCACATGAAATTCTCAAAATCTTTCCTAACTTCCTCTGCATTTAAGATCATGCATAGTCACCCTTGGATTTTTAAAATTCTGGAGTGAGAATTTTTTTCTAAGTGTTTTCACTTGTTTCTTTCCTTCAGATCCCAGCTCTCACTACGTGATAACCCTGAAAGCCTTTAACAACGTGGGTGAAGGCATCCCCCTGTACGAGAGCGCCGTGACCAGACCTCACACAGGTAAGCCATCCTGACCATCTCCAGTCTTCAGCAATTTTTCCAGCAGCTTATGTGGAATGTTGGCACGAGGTCTGCCCCATAGGTATCAGTGGAACGGAAAGTATATGCCACTATAGACTTCATATAGGAAAATGGGCTTTCAGCAGGGAAATTTGTTAATATCTGGTTTTCTCTTTGTAGAAAATATTAACAGTCCTGTTATGCAAATAATTCTATGTAGATATGCAGCAGATGTTTTTAATAAGTTGGTCTCTAGAAAGCATAGTTGTGAGAGAATTAAAAGTGATTTTCATCTTTTGGTCATGTGAGTTACAACTAAAAGGAGTGAAAAAAAAGAAAGGATCGCTATGACTCTGGAGGAATTATATAGGTTACTGAATGTAGCAGTAAATGTGTATGATCAGTGAGTGAATCCATCGTTTTCTTTACTAGTTGCCTGAGTTGATTGGGAAAGTACTTCTATTTGCTTTTCATAAACTTTGTTTATATAAAGAGTATAAAGTCCATCATACTATCCATTTGATCGACTGTACATTTATTACAAAAGAGACCAAAATACTCATTTTTTTTGTAACAAAGGAATACACATATAAGATTTCTGTAGGTAAATAAAATCTCTAATTTAGAGCTGTATGAGAAAGCTTATTGAAATAAATATGTAAGACTTGTAAATTTTTCTAAGGAATACTGAAAACCCAAGAATTTATCATTTTCAGAAATGCTCTTTTCCGTTTGTTTTCCAGAACTGTGAATCTCTATTTCCTGCCATATTTTTTGGATACTTTGTATAATAGTGCAAATTTGACATTATTCTTTTTAAAAAGATAATCTCTGTCCCTTTTGTTCTTTAATGCTTTTACTTGACAAGACCAACATCCTTACTGCCTGTTTGGTAGTTCTGTCCTGTCTTCTCCTGTGTGCTTGCAATTTATAAGTTCTTTTTCCAGAAAGGGGAAAAAATGTAAGATGAAAAAGAGAATATTTAAATAAGTGGTTTGCTACTTTTTAAAATTGGCTTATAATAGAAAAATGTTTTTGAAATTATTTTCTCTTATGTGACTTAAAAATAATAGTCTTCTGGCTAGAAATATACAAGAAAATGTTCCTAAGTCATGTAACATCATTATCTTTTCCAAGAGTTATTACAAGTAAAAAAAATTTCTCAAAGAAGTCTAACGATTTTTGCATCTGAAGGTGCATATTCTGTAACTAATTGGTTTGTGTCCTAATTTTTGAACAAATCCCTTGACTAGAATGTGTGCTATTCCTCTGTTATTTTTAGTACTCATTGTGTAGGAATACACAAATGGAGACTATTACATTAGTTTGGCAATTATTCATGAACAAGGTCCATGCCATTTCAGATTTTGAGTTACAGGAAGGGCTAATTTCCATAACCATGTGGGAAACCCATTTTAAAACCTTAACTTAAATCAATCTGTGTATACTTAGAAAACCTGACCAAGAGTTGATAAAGCCCAGTGGATCCTGCTGTATCACCCTTGGTTTGTGGTCCTTGTTGCCTTTGTGCACATTCCATCAAACAAGAACTCTCACTTCTAAAGTTCATAAAGGCTGTCACTTGGATCCATAACTATGTCATTTCCCATAACTGATTGGGATTCATTAGATGCATTGTTTTCTGACCCTACTGGAGAAAGTACAGCAGATGTTCCTGCATGGTATCACCTTACCTTTTCCCCAGGAAGAATAATACCCTTGAGAGTTACTTTTGCTTTATTTGGATGTACGCCATCTTGCTGTACTGCTTATAGACCCAAGACATCAGTAGATCTCAACTGGACCCTGTGGGTATCAGATAACCCTAACACCAAGGCTAGGTTAAGTTGCCATTGGCTGGCATTCAAGACTCAGGTTTGAGAGTAGGACCCTTACCTGTTCATTGACATGCATTGATAAGCCATGTCCCAAAAATTCGGCCATATTCACTGAAATATCAAAACAGATCATAAGCTTTGTGTTGCTTGTTCTGAAATTACACCCTTGATTTTAAAAGCAGATTGTATCTTCTCACAATCCTTTTTGGAAAGGTAGTAGAATTTTCAAGTAATTAAAAAAATTCAAGTATGATTATGTTAATATCACTGGATTATCAGATTTTAATATACATACAGATACTGTAGAGAATATAGTTAATTATTTCCCTAGAGATTTTCCTGCAAATTTTTCCTGAAAGAATGCAAGTGGAAATATTCTTTTTAATGAATGATGGTTATCTATTAACTCCGGATTCTCTTTCTCTTTCTCCATTCCTCATCTTTCATTCCATTATGTTACCCTGCATTTCCTTTTCTTTTATTTTTGTTTATGTTAAAATGCCACTTCCCTTTTTTAATTACTTTTTACCCAGACACTTCTGAAGTTGATTTATTTGTTATTAATGCTCCATACACTCCAGTGCCAGATCCCACTCCCATGATGCCACCTGTGGGAGTTCAGGCTTCCATTCTGAGTCATGACACCATAAGGATCACATGGGCGGACAACTCACTGCCCAAACACCAGAAGATTACGGATTCCCGGTACTACACAGTCCGATGGAAAACCAACATCCCAGCAAACACCAAGTACAAGGTACTGGCACATTTGCTGTGGGTGAGAAAAGCTAATAGCTATTGATATTTCCTAATTCTAAAGTTCTTCATTCATATGCTTCCAGAATGCAAATGCAACGACTTTAAGTTATTTGGTGACTGGTTTAAAAGCAAATACACTGTATGAATTCTCTGTGATGGTGACCAAAGGTCGAAGATCAAGCACATGGAGTATGACAGCCCATGGGACCACCTTTGAATTCGGTATGTGTTGTCTGAATCTTACATCACATGGCATTTCTTCTCTTTGCAAGACATGAGAGCCAGTGGAAGTCCATGTGAGTATTGTCCCACATCCCAAGTCCTGAGACTTCTCATCACCTGCTTCTACGACCCAAGGAAAATTATCGAGGGTGTGAATTAGCACATTTACAGAACACAGTAAGCAGCTACAGCTGGAGTTCAGTGTTTGAATTATGTTTTCTTCATCACTGAACAAGAACATTAGCAAATAATGGGGTAATATAATGCAAAGTATACTAGTTTTTAGGAATCAAGAGACTTGAGTTCAATCCCAGATCAACCAAACACTGACTGTGTAAGTCATAAGTAAGTCATCCAGCCTCTCCATCTGTTTCTTCCATCTGTAAAAGAGGGGTAATAATATCTGCTTTTCATACCTTACAGGGTTATTGTAAGGGTAAAATGAGCAGATGAGAAAGCACATGGTAATTATAAAGCACTGTGTAGATGTAGAGGATTACTGTCATTAATCCTGCTTTACTGCTAAATTGAGAGAAAAACAAGTGACCTGCCCTTAACGAAGCAGCTGCCAATGCCATGCTTGCTGGAGCCTCAGAACTTTACTGGTAGGCCACAAAGCTGCCCCAGCAGCCTTCTTACAAACCAGTTAATATCTGGTTGATATCTGATAAATCTCCCATTGGGACAGCCTCTAACGGGTTTTGTCTGTAAATAAACATGAAAGGTAAAAGACACCTAAACAAATTAAGGGGAAAGCAGGCTATCCAAGTTTGAGATTCCATTTGCCTTTTGCTCATTTGTAGGCCTACCTTCTACCTCTTACACTTTTCTAGCATGTGGATATGTGTAACCATTGGGAGTCTCTGTCTCTTCTGGCCTCCTATGGCTTTTTTCACCTGTATATAATGAAAAAAATGGAGCTATTAAGTCTCTCTGGACTGGGCCTGGCCCTAATGCCTTTTTGTCTTCTGCACAGTTGATTGGACTTCCTACAGAGAAAGAGGGTTGACTTTGGAGAGCTTAGAATTAATAGTGCACAAAAGTTTAGGTAGACATTGAGTTTACTTTCTTTGCTAGTTTTAAGAATATCTTTTTGCTTGGGGCCCCTGGATGGCTCAGACGGTTGGGCGTCCGACTTCAGCTCAGGTCATGATCTCGCGGTCTGTGAGTTCGAGCCCCGCGTCAGGCTCTGTGCTGACAGCTCAGAGCCTGGAGCCTGCTTTGAATTCTGTGTGTGTGTCTCTCTCTCTGCCCCTCCCCCGCTCATGCTCTGTCTCTCTCTCTCTGTCAAAAATAAATAAACATTAAAAAAAATTTTTAAAAAAGAAAATATCTTTATGCTTAATTCCAACCCATTAGTTAATAAATGATACTACGTATTCCCTTAGGATGTGTGCATTTCACCAGGCTGCCTGCCTTCCATTTTATGCTAGGAGAATTCCAGTATTTTAGGTAGAGAAGAGTAAATTGAAGGATATACTTAATTTGCTCATTTCTCTACTGGTACATTAATAGTTATCAGCCATGACATCGAAATACAAGAAATGCAGTGTTGTTTTATTCTGTTGGTTTTTCCATTTCATAAACAACTTTACATTTCAGAACAATATTCTCAAATAGTTGACAGTGTGTGTTTAGTGCAAACTTAAAAGCATCAGTTTGTAAATCATTTGTTTTTTGAGGGAATAGGGATTTTTAAACATTGTATTTGGTTTGGAGAGCCATCTATAAATGAAAGAGAAAATTATTTTACACTTGAAAATATTCTAACAAAATTATCCAAATTTGAGGGGGAATGTCATCTTGGGCAAATTACCTGACTTTTTTCATTGCCAATGCCCTGATCTGTCAAGCAGGGATAGTGGTAACTGCCTTTCAAGTTGCCATAAATATTAAGTGAAATACTGTTTATAAAATGGCTGGCATATACTAGATACTTGGTAACTAACTACAAAGGTCTTTTGACTTCCCTAAGTATCCTATAAATCCCTGACCCGAAGCCAAGATAACAATTCTGTATTCTCATTGTGTGGTATTTTCTCTTTGGTACTTGGCATATTCTTCTCTTGATTGGAGCTATTTGCAGGTAGACTTTGAGTTCTTTGAAGCCAGGAGGCTTTATCTTTTTTGCCTTATACCTCTTATTGTGCCTTATAAATGGGTTGAGGAAATGGTGACTTAAATTGAAATGGACAGGAACTAATGAAAGTCTTGTTTTTTTGTAGTTCCTACTTCTCCACCCAAGGACGTGACAGTTGTGAGTAAAGAGGGAAAACCTAGGACCATAATTGTAAATTGGCAGCCTCCCTCAGAAGCCAATGGCAAAATTACAGGTAAGCTGCCTTTGAGTGTATGTCTGCCCTCTGCAGAAGCATCCCAGCAGAGTGCTGTGTGGTTGGGGGAAGTGGGAGTCTGAAGGCTGGCTTGGTCATTTTATGAGGTGCAGAGTCATGGTGATCCTTGAAAGTGGACCTAGGGGGTGCTGTTGCTCACAGTAAGGTAAAGATGAATGGCCAGTTGGTTGTTCTGACTCACTTTGGGTGAAAGTCTGATGGGCGTTGTTACATTAGACAGTCTTTGGCTATGGTGGGGCTTTATGGACATATTTATTTTCATCAGAAAAGCTCTTCTTCTCTGCCTCTGACTAGATAATCAGCTTTGGCGTCAAAGACCCTGCCTGATTCTAAAGGGTAATACCCAGTAAATATAGATTCAAAGACCCAAAAAGCCCATTAAACTTTTAATTCAGTTTTTTGTCCCCAGGCCTGCTACTTCAGCTTCCTGTGCTCTTAACACTAGAGTTAGAAGTTTGAATTGGCCTAGGCCTTTGAAGGGACCTGGGATTTTTCCTTGGACTTCCAGGGAACTTGCCACAGTAGAGGACACCGTCTTCCTTGGCTTTATCAGGGAGGAAAGCCCAATGGGATTTAGCTCTTAATTATTCCCCTTGGAACCTCTGCTCCGTGTAGGTTTATGCTGAGGAACAGGAGTTTGCTTTCTGATGTTCCTATGTATGAATAAGTAGGCCCAAGGGAACTGATCGCATTTCTCAGTGTTGTCCTGCTTCCACTTCCAGTTAGAATCCCTTTCCGTAAATCCCTGGGCTTTCTCATGGTGTGTGTGTGTGTTTTTTTTTTTTT